ACTGGTGATATTCAGTATTTTTCTCTTAACAACTTTTAACAAATCCCACAAAAAGACCAAAACAACTGTGAACTGATCCCAAATATCCTCTTTGTGGAGTATTTATCTTTTCCTGTGCCACAGAGTTCCATTGTTGTCAAATACTTTTAAAATACATCGGTGAACCACACTGTGGATGATATAGTATATTCCTTTTCTTGCTATTTAAATGGACACTGTAATTTATTTTAATTCAATCCCACATACGTACAGTGTCCTAGTATTATATATGCTCTTTACTTCACATATTTTGATCCACAGCAGAAAATAGTTCCCAGCAAATGCTCAGTCCTCGTCCTATTTAAAAGCTCTTTAACAGGAAGCAGTCGGCTTGGGGTTGAGTGGCACAGATAGGGTAGGGGAGTCACGACTGCTGAGAGACAAACTAACACACTGTTGGTTTTAATCTTTTCAGGAACATTTTTTAAACTTGAACAGGGAAATTAAAGAAAACTGGCTGACTTATTCTATATTCAGAACATGATGTTTCTTTCATTTTTTTTATATTAGAACATTTTAAAATACATTGTAAAAACAAAACAAAAAATCAGCATTTAATATATTGGTTGAGGAGACAAATCTATTTCCCCATATAGATATTACTCTTTATATATTTTATCTGATGTTCCTCATCTGTTTACAGGTATTTGAATTTCTTTGCATGTCAGTAATTTAATGCTTTTGTGCAATGCTATCAACTTTTGCAACATCTGATCTAAATACAATAAAGCCAAAATGCTTTTTTGTGTGTATTTTATCAGATGTGTGAGGCTCATCTTTAGCCTTTAATGCCATCCCAAGACAATTTAATCATGTTATGATCAATTCTAATACAAGGCAGGATATCAAGAACATGAGCAGAGATGTAGGCAGGGACCAAGCTGTTACATCTTATTGATTTCACTCCCACAACAGCTGGAGACAAGATGCAAACATTTCCTGCCCGATGCATATGTAACCAGTGTATCCTCTGAAGAAATCTTGTTCTTGGACTTGAGAGGACATTGTATGTAAGAGCTTGAAACCTGGGAGACATTTATACAGATCTCACCATGGGATCTGAAGATGTTCAAATGCCTTTTTAGGTGTAGCCAGTTGCCTTTGAATACATGCTTTTGTATATAGACATGTGAGAAATTAACACTGGCTATGCTAATATGCAGCGGAGCAAAGCCAAATTTCATACCCTGTGATTGAGCCTCTCGTGTTAAACCAATTTACCGGCCACAGATTGAACTCCCTGCAAGCCAAAAAGCATGACAGGATTAGATGGCTTCCTCTCTTATTTGACTGAGCACTAGGTTACTTTGAATACATGAGACACAAGTGGTAATCCCAGCAGCATTTCTTGCATTTGACTGAGTATTGATGATTGTAAGCTTGTAAGTTAAACACATAAGACTTGGCATGATGTTTTGCCTGCCTTCTACGCTAAGTATAGTTTCTTCAGCATGTAAGGTCTGCTTTTATTCATATATATATAGGGTGCGCTGCTTTTAGATATGTCATTGATTAAAGGGCCACTTGACCAATTTTACACTAGATCGAGCTCGCTTTACTTGTTATGAGAAAAAC